ATTTCCCTTCAGTGTATAAAGCTTGGGATTTTTATTGCACAGATTTGACTGAGGATCACCATGGTGGCCATTATGCAAAACACCTTGAGCAGAGCTCAGAACTGTGTGAGCCAGCTCACTGCTTTCTCAAGCTGGAGGGTGCATAGAACTCACCGGTAACAGAGCACAAGCCTTCCCCTGCTATTTTTACACACAGATTGCAAGCAGAAAGGCACAATTCCTTCACATATTTAGAACCCAAAGGGCACTGGTAGCATGATGTTACCATGGGCTAAACACCGAAGTTAACATCCACAACCTACACAATGCACGTGCAGATTTTCAGAGGAGAAAGGCACAGTCCAGCCACTTCACAAGTCCTCACATGTCCTGAAGAATCCTCTGCACTGATCCTCAGGGCACTGTAAACAAAGCCTGAAAGCAGGTGCAGAGCCTTTAAATATTTTGGGATGGGCTCAACTGGAAAAGATGAAGGGTTTTAAGGTGTCTGAGCAGGCTCACAACACCGCTACCAAGCACCGTGGTGAAGGTAGAAGACAATCCCCAGGTGTATGTACTGTGCCAGCTGCTTCTTTCCACAGGTTTTACTACCAGTTAAGATGGTACAGAGATGGTTAATTTGCAAACAGAAGAAATTTAAGACAGTTGCTTGTAACAGCACTTCTGCCAGAACTCTCACCACCACCTTGAACAATCCCTAATCCACTTCAGTCAGAATCAGCTGCCTTAATGTAAGTGGTTTAAATAGCTGGTTTAAATCAACTAGCTGATTTCTTCAGAAGCAAGCTGGGAGACAAGCACATCACTTCACCGCCAGACCACGGAAGGATTAACAGACATCCAGCCACAAGCATGGAGCTCCTGCAAAATCAGATATTTAATCCAGTCCCAGTGCCATTCTGGGGGATCTGTCTAACGAAAAGACAGACCATCAAAGCCTGGATCTGACACCAGAAGCATCAAACGGGACGTGTCATGACTGCAGGAGACTACTCTGCTCAGCCACTGCAGCAAGGAGGTCCCTCCCCAGCTGAGCCTGCAAGGGCAGGTGAGCTAGGAGGGCTACACACTTGTCCCTTCTATCTTAGGAAGCTGATAAAGCAGTTAAGGAAATGACCTCACAGAAGCAGAGGACAGCATACACTCTAGCAAACCCGCTTCTCAACTATTTTAAAACAGAAAAAAAAACCAAAAACCAAAATCAACCACTTCATAATTATAAGCCTAGAATTAATAGTACCACCATGCAGCAATTACTTTGTTAGGCAGCAACTGGTTTGGAAGCAATAATTCAGCAACTGCCTTAAACCTGTAACAAATATGTGACTTGCTTGTAGTATTTCAATACTATATGACATTAATGCCAGCTAAAGAGCACCTGAAGCAGAACAATATGTATTGTTGTAAAGAATAGCAGGATTCTTCCCATTAGTAAGCTCCTGTAACAGAGGAAAACAACTGGCCAGTTTCCCAAAGACTACTCGTTTGTCGTTCTCATTAGCTGATGGCAACACTTGCATCCCTCTCTGTCAGAGATGGAATCAGATCCTCAGATCTACACACGGATCAGTCAGCTGGTGAGAGAATGGGTATAAACTACCTATTTGGAACAGCTAAAATGAAAACAAAAAAGGAAGCCCAAAGCCTCTCAAACACAAAACATGCTAGGGATGCCAGCATGTGTGTGGTAGAAGAATCCATCAAACCATTCTGAAAAGGTTGGCAGTATTTGTTTCAAAAGGCCCAAAGGTCAGATCATGGGAGTTAGGAGATCTCAGTCAGAGTCACTTCTGACATCAGCTCATCGTGGCACTTTTTCATAAATATTACTTGCTTTGCATTTCAGTTTTTCTGGGAAGTATCAGCAGCAGGTATCACAGATAGAGAGGCCAAGGCAGAGAGATGACTTTACAGATCCCTTTCAGTACCAATGTCTCCAGTTCTGGAATGGACACCAATAATAAAGCACTTAGGTGGGGAAAAGTCTGTCTGAAGAGCTATCAAAACCTAGAACTCTATTCATATGTTTTCAAGGTGAGAATAATTACATGAAAAATCACATCATGACAAAAGTCCTGTCATGGTGCTGCATTGCTTAATAAATACCAGCAGCATGTTGTTGGTCCTACACCGTATTTACAGCTTTTAATTAAAGAACTAGATTTAGAGGCTACAGATGTTTTGATGTGAAAACAAACTGAGTAGAATCCAAGGGAATTAGAAAAACCAACCAAACAAAAGGGTTTAGAATGCTCATCATAGACATGAACATAATCCCTAAAGTAAGACATTGCAAATCATAGCAGAGAGATGGCAGGTTTCAGATCACCAGTGACACTGCTCATAACAAAACCTCACTATAATCTACCCGGTTTTCAGAGACAGCTACAGCAAGCTCTGTACACCTAGGCTGAGATTAGGTTTTAGTGCAAATGGACACTAATAAATACATGGAAAAAAAACAGTGCAAAGAGCATTTTTTTCTTCTCAAAGCAGGAAATTCTATGAAGGAAAAATAATTTTATGCATGGTTCCTAAACCAAGCTACAGCTTAAACTTGATGCTTCACACCACCTGTCAAAATTTTTCATCATCCATGCAGTGTTAGGCTTGCCTCAGAGCTTAGAAAGGGAATGTCTCTATGAAGCTGGGAGGTGCAGTTGATATGCCAGAGGGATTGGATGTGATCCAGAGGGACCTGAGAGGCTGGAAAAGTGGGCCCAGGTGAACCTCATGAGGTTCAACAAGGCCAAATTTAGGGTCCTGCACCAGGGCAGGGACGACCAGCACTATCAATATAGGCTGTGAGAGGACATGCTAGAGAGCAGTCCTGTGGAAAGGGACTTGGGAGTGCTGGTGGATGAAAGACTGGACAGGAGCCACCAATGTGCAATGGCAGCCCAGAAGGCCAATCACATCCTGGGCTGCATCAAAAGAAGCGTGGCCAGCAGATGGAGAGAGGTGATCCTGGTGCTCTACTCTGCCCTGGTGAGACCTCACCTGGAGTCCTGTGTCCAGCTCTGGAGCCCCCAGCACAAGAAGGACGTGGACCTGTTGGAAAATGTCCAGTGGAGAGCCACGAAAATGATCAGAGGTTTGGAGCACCTCTCCTATAAAGACAGGTTGAGAGATTTTGGGCTCTTCAGCCTGGAGAAGAGGAGGCTTCAGGGAGACCTCATAGTGACTTTTCAGTACCTGAGGGGGCCTACATGAAGGCAGGGGAAGGTCTAGTCAAAAGGCTTTGTAATGACAGGACAGGGAGTAATGGTTTTAAACTGGGAAAGGATAGATTTAGACTGGATACTAGAAAAAAAATCTTTAACATAAGAGTGATAGATCACTGGAATGGACTGCCCATAGAGGTAGTGGAGGCCCCATCCCTGGAATCATTCAAAGTCAGGCTTGGTAGGCCTCTGGGCGACCTGGCCTAGGTAGAAAGGTCCCTGCTTGTGTAGGGAGGTTGGACCAGATGACCTCTAGAGGTCCCTTCCAGCCTAAAACATTCTATGATTCTAATGTCACAAACTCAAATTCATCAGAAAGTGGCAGCACTGGGGAAAAAAAAAACAACTTTGACTTTTTTTAAATAGTCCTTTGTCTTAAAACAGCTTCCTCATCCTTTTCCAAACAAGCCCAGATTTCGCAAGGGCTTAGTGCTGCCACAACAGGTTACAGGAGTATAAATTTGTTGGAATAGGGTATTGATGAAATGGAATTAATGCTTGGAAGACAAAGACAATGTCATGAGCACTTACACAAGAATTTTTTTGCATAAAATCAGCTTTTTCTCATTTGCATTGGTATTTCGGAACATCTCCTGCCTTACAGCAATTTGCTCAGCTTTTGAAGGCTTTCCTCTGAAGTGAGGTCTAGCAGTCTTGCTTCTACCTCCAACCCCTAACATTCTGTGATTTGGAAAATGCCTTTCCACCACTTCATTTCTTTCACAGCCATCGACATCTGGTCTGTCTGTCACCTGTCTGATAGGTGTTGCATCAGTCGTATTTCCTGCAGTCCTACAGCCTGTCACTTGTGAGAGAAATCAAGGATGCAAGTGCTTAGTTTACCAACAGAGCTAGTCAGTAGCAAGAGCTCTCAAGCTAGTGCCATATTTATAAAGAAAGTTGTGGAGTCCACAAACATTCTGGCAAAATTTACCATGACCTATGCATAAACAAGCTGCATATGGTATTAACCTCACAAGTAATATTCACCAGGATAGTAACAACATGCTGTAGCATTTTTCCAATTCGTGTTCAGATTGCTGCTTTTGGGGTTACTTCTTGAAAATATTTATTTTTCACCTTTTTCCTCTGCCAGCTGGCTTTTCAAGTTTCTTCCTGCAACTTTTATATCTTTCAAAATAATCTGAAAGAAGATTCTGACATTCAGGTCCAAACTGACAATAATGGGGTGCAAAACTGTCTCCTTAATATACATTACCCTCCCAATAAAACCCCTACGCTCACTGTTACATTAAACTGATCTCCACAGACAGAACCGAGATATATGAAGAGTAAAAACAAAACCAAACCTGTTACATAAGGATAAGCATTTCTGCAAGGCTCCAATTAGGCATCCCTTTTACATTCACAGTTTGACTAGTAAGCACAAAAATTAATTCTGCTGTACTAATTTATAACTCATAACAGGAATATCTGGTCCATTTATACACAAAATATCTTTAGGGCATAGCTCAGAATTTATGCCTCATACATTAGTCACCTCTGTCCAAATCAAATCAGCACACTGTTGTCCTTAAGTTAGTCTGTTTAGACACGAGTTTTTTTTTCGTGTATGTCACCTGGACAGGTGACAGGACCACTTATTAAAGCAAGACCTTACATGATGCTTAAGATGCCATTACTTGACCTAAAGACCTATTAAAAAAAAATTGTGATGAGCAATGCATAAAAAATTGATCAGAAAGAAGAGACAGAAGTTGTTACCTACAGTGCACTGAAAATTTGTTTTAGTTTGCCCCATTCTAAAAAAAAAACCTAAATAATTCCAGAAAGTTGGCTTTGTTTATTCAGTGGCTGATTTTCTGTGGCACTCTGAGTGTTGCCAGGATTTTCAGAGAGTCCATCAGCATTTTGTTTCCAACTGTAAAAATGCTCTACAATAACTTCAGCTAAAAATGAAACACTTGCGAGAAATCCAAACACCTGTGAAAGTGAAAGGAATAGATGGTTTTACCACACACAAACATTAACAGTATTCTAACATTGTTTGGAGACATTTGCTGGGCTATTTACATACACTAATAATGCTTATATAATAAGATTAAAGTCTTCTTTAAATCAGTAGTTTTATTTCAATTAGAAATAGACCAGAAATCATAATGCTAGCACATTTAATGCAAAAGTTTTCACATTTCTCATCCCCCTAATCAAGTGTGAACACTGTAATATGTTCTCAACAGCCCTTAATAGTAAAAGTAAATTAATTTTATTGCAAAAAATTGTTATTAAAGCAGCACAGCGCTAGTGGTATAGCAGAGTATTTGTCCAAGAGGTGGCCGCTGGTTAAAGGAGTAAGCAAATAAGAATAGCGCGTGGAAGGTGAAGTGAGACAAGATCTACAGAGCCTAAGCAAGCCCTTACAGGATTAGCAAGGGGGAATGAAATGACATTTTGTTAATGACATTTCATTACTAGCCATGGCAAGACAGAGTAAGGAGAAGGTTGGTTTTAGCTACTTCTTTCAAACAAGGAAAGAAACACAGGAATTATTCTAACTTCCACCTAAATTTTATACAACTGATTTGCCCCAAAGATATTTGACACTAGTAAATCTTAAATCATTATAGTTTTGGGGTTTCCAGCTCTAGAAAAAAAACTTGAAAGACTTTATACTTGAATCATTAGGTCTGGATATATCAACATCCCAGATGACTATACAAAAGTGTGTCTCTCTAATAGCTCATGACTGTGGAACAGAATTATTCTGCTTTCTTTTCTAACTCATTTTTTCCCCAATCAAGATCAAATCAAAATTTGATTTTTTAAACTCACATACTCACTCTTCCAAGGTTATTCAAATGAAGTGCCAAATGAGTGAGGAATCAAGACACTCACAGCATTCCAAAGCTTTTCAGTGTTCCTTGTGAGATGCATTCCCTGCTGCTCTTATAACTATTTCTGTCACTGAGGAAACTGGTGCTCCTATTGCAGCCTTTGCAAACCAGCATTCTCCACATATGCTTTACAATGCCTGCCAAAACACATGGTTTCTTGCTGACTTTGTGAGGGGGTGGCATTATGAAAGAACAATTGAGGAAAAAATCAGGCATTTCTGAGATAGGATAACAGAGACCTGGAAAGCTGTGAGAGGTGGCAATATCAAAACAGTGACAGATGACAGGGAATAACACAGAGCCAAGGCAGTGAAGCCTGATGAACACAAAAGCAAGCTGCAAGTGCTGAGGCGCTGCAAGTGCACACAGAGCTCTCCAGCAATCCTGAGGAATGCCTGCTCTATGGATTTCCTATGGTTATTTTCTGGAAGTTCTGAAATAGCTAGCTCCTCCTGGAACATTGCAATGCGCTGAGTCCTGTCCCCTGCCCAGTTTCTCCCCTGCAAATTGAAGTCTAGAGGGCACAGAAATTAACATACAAGATAAATACAAAGTAAATCATGCTATTTTAAGACTTACACATGCAGCATTTTCAACAGCAGTCCCAGAGCTGGTCACAGTAAGCACTATTGATGCTAACAGAAAAAAGACACCTATGGCTAGTATAGCCCAAAAATTCTGCAGATATAAAAAAAAGAATGTTATAGAATTGTAGATACACTACCTGAAAAAAGAACAAGCACCATTACAGCAGTAGAGTCAATTTGCCAGCGAGCTTATGCCTTGAAATTGTGATGCTAATGGAAGCTTTGGAAAATGTATTTTACAATGACATTCCAAACAACATTCAACATTACCAACTATATAAAAGAATGTGAATTACACACTCCCTTGTTTTTGCCATCTTTAAGTACGTCATTCATTTCCTCTATTTTCACAATCAAATTCAAGATCAGATCAACCATGCTAGCATTATTCCCAACGTAAAACATTTGGGAAATCAGACACCTGTAAGTAAATGAGCTCATTCAAGTCTCTTACCACACTCCCTTATCTGTACTCTCGGGAAAAAACTGTTTGCTCTGAAGATAAATAGGAAGGGACACTCAAAAACCATGATATTCTTACTGACTTTACAGAGCAACTTTTTGCCATGGCTCCATCTTCTGAAAAAGTACAAACAGTAACAAGTATGATTGTTACCAAAAAAGGAAGTAACCTGGTGGGGAACTAGATAGCGTAAACAGGCAAGTTACAAGTATGATGGTGGCAGTAAACTTTGTTCTGTATACATACATATATATGATGACTACACAGTAGCATTAGCCTGTATGAAAGACTTTCACACAAGTCCTAATATCCTGCAGGCAACCAACATACAATTTTGGAAAAACTGTCAATATAAAAGGATATAAAAGGGACACTCAAAGCAGACTACTTTTTTAACTGTAAACTACTTTAATCTACCCTTCAAATAGAGAAGAAAAATCGTTCTGTATAGCCTTTTAACTCCTTAGTAGTTGTTAAACACTTACAAGAAATGGCTTGTCTTAAAAAAATATTTTCTTACCGCTCTCTGTACTTTATCTTCCCCAAAGGTTTCATATACTTCAGTGCAGTACACACACAGGACCAGGAGGCTCAGAAGAAAGGCACTGCAGCTTGTGAATTCAAAGAAGTAAAGTCCACCACATTTGATACAATCCTCCACAATTTCTTCACAAATAACAGCCAGAAGAGATAAAATCTGCAAACAAATAACATACTTTAGATGAATCAAGTCTCTAACACCTTCAGCAAATAGGCATCTCTAACAGGAACATTAATAAAGACAGCTGTAACGAAAAGCCTCAATCTACACAGAACCCAGTAAAATTCTGCACTATTAAAGACAGAAATAACTACATAGTAACACAGTTCATACTTGCTAGTAAAGTCGGTCAACAAACTACTCTCAGGTAAGCTAAGCACACAGTGCCAAAAACAGCTTATTAGACAATCAAAGTTGCTTATCCGTGGTTTTATGCAATTGTTAGTTGGAAGCACACAAAGCAGGCAGCATGGAGAGCACACAGTCTGCTCAGAATGAGAAAAAATGCTATTGCTTGCTACTAACAACTGCACTTAATTTTAAATATATTTGGGTTCAGAGCAGAGAGGGAAACGGACAGCACAGACAGAGTCAGCTACCTCCCTGAGAGTTTATAGCTGATGTTACCTTCCTTGATAAAACCTCAGAGAAAGTGCAGGTAGCTAACAGCTCATGTGCTGTAACCCAGTAACAACAGAAGCTCAGCAGTACTTGTAGGAACCAAAACTTTAAACTACACAGGACAGTGTGTATTTAATCTATGCAGAAGCTTGTGTTCCCCTTCCTGCCATACTTTGTTTTGAGAAAAGTTCATGAGTTAATTTCTGTACAGTCACCATAAATCTGCTGCTGGATTTTCTACTCTTTTATTGCACAAGAAAGAAAATTGCTTTATTTAAATCTTTTCTCATTTTAACCACTTCTTTCTAGTTTCCTTCATTCCATAATGGTGAGACAGGTTTATAGATCCTTGCAGGAAGGAGTTCACTGAATTAAAATCATTACTAGGAATCAGACTAAGACATAAAATAGAGACTGATATAAGGATGATTATAGTTTTAATAAGAGTATAGGAGCAATAATGAGGTTGACAGTTTTTTAAAAAAAAAATCAAAACCAAATTCTATAGTTCAGAATTGTGCTTGGAAGATAACCACCAGCCTTTGGTTTCAGTTTTCTGACAGTAAAAATAAGAACAATTCAGCACACGGGAACTGTCAATTCCTGCTGCT